AAATCCAGTAGGCCTAGAAACACTTCTAATGGTAATGTTAGCAAAAAATATCATCATGACCCACAGAATAAGAACACAGCACATGTGGTGATTTTTGAAAAACCGGAGCAGTGATCTTTACTGCAATTGTTGCCACACTAGTAATATTCCTTGCATGGTTCAGTCGATAGGACCCAGTCGTTGCGGGCTTCACCGGGCTGTTTGGTTTGTAAAAAATATTGTCATTTAGGTGTAATACAAATTAGATGTAATACAAATAGCATGTAAGTAAAAGTGAGAGTTCTGGTTGGTGTCAAAAAGGCTAGCTATACTAAGGTTTCAATTGAAGCCACTAAATTGGAATTCAGTGTGTGGTAGTAACCGTCTATTGAATAACGTTACTTGTTATTGACACCACAGTGACTAAAGAAAGAAGCTTGGAAGAAGCATTTGTATTCAAATCTGATTTTTGAATGCAAGTTTTGCTCAAGAAAACGAATTGTTTTCGGTAGCTGCAACTTCAACAGTATTATCAAAACACTTCTGTTACACTAATATTCTGAGGTCTTTTTCATTGGTCTTTTCAGTACTTTGCTAATAATCCATCTGCGTTAGAATGTATGGTTGATTAGTACGACGACTTACCTAAGAAAGTTTGCAGTTTAGTCAATGTTGCTATAATTAAGCAAAAATGCGGTCTCCTGGGACCGTATGGCCCGCCGGCGGGCCACATGCGTGTCTGGCGTGCGGTCCCACACGCTAGACACGTTTAGAGCGCGCGGTCGTCAAAGGGTTAAAATATACCAACAGTAGCGGGAAATGGTCGAGTGATTAAAAATATGCCCGCCTCCACCCACTTTCTCCAAGCTGGACAAGCTTTCAGGATGTGGAATTATGTAAAGGTTGCTGTGGGTGTTGGACGGAATCTCAGAAATTTGGAAATTTGCCAGACAGTGCAACGGCTGTCTCTTCTTGTGAACTCCATATTTTGTGTAGGCGTCTAAGCGCATCCCTGAGAGTAGCTAAAGCTGCACATGTTCGCTGAATATACGACAAAGACAGAAAAAGGTTTCTAAGTTGTTTCGATTCTCCGTGGTCGCGTCATCTTCTATTATTAATCAATTTTATATTCTAGGATCACCTCTACAGGGGGGGGGGGCAATAAAAAAAGACATTTTGTCTCCAGACTCAAATGGATTTAATCACACTTTGCTCAGCTCAAAGCGTGTGCTCCCAACTTAGAATTGAAGAGCGCATTTCATTTCATAAGAAAATCTTCATAGTGGCCATCTACGTGGACGGCATCAGAAAAATTTGCCCCGGAAACATGGTGCTCTGGTCGAGCTCAATGGGGTTCTCGACTGATCGTGTACCGTTACGACGGGTTCCCCGAGGGGGTTTGCATAGTTAGAGCTAATGTCCCTAGGAAACTATCCCACGTTGAATCGATCCAAGAAATTATGTAAGAGCTTCAGGCTGAAGCAGTTACTGTAGGCCTCCCTGAGCTCGACGACGGTGACAGATGACGTCATATTCTGAAGACGGTGAGGGTAGTGAAGGAGGGCCTGCGTGTACTTATAGAGGACATTTAGGGAATATTTTGCTGAGGAAGGCCGAAGCGCGATCTGGGTAATAAAATGTCTTTTTTTCTGCCCCCCCCCTGTATATGCTCTAGTCCATTAGGTTTTGTAGAGCTTAAAAAATATTCGGCTTCTTTTATTTATCGTCTTGCACGACTTTCTTTGACTGCTGAACTAGTCCTCAAAAATCGTTAGCTTGAAAGCAACAGCACTTGATAAGAACGAATAAAGCATAAAAAATGCGCTTATCTCGAAAAACAATTCGAAAAGTAAGACGGTTGGGCCTTTAATTCCCGCCGTATATCTGTCACAAATGTGGGAGTAAAAACGCTCCTAGCTGCTTGTTGGACAGCTGTTACTGAAAACTTTTTTGGCCTTTTCAGATTCGACTAGGACATTTTGCTCTCCCACTTCATCCTTTTCATTCGAATATCATTAGCCTCTGTGCATTTAACCTGCCGAAATCTGCTTGTCCCATTCATATGGTCCTGCTCAAAAAACCGTGCAGCCTTACGCGAAGCATCACCCAATCCCAACAAGGCTTTCCATATCGCTGTGAGCCACGGCTGAAACACTGCTCAATCTCTGTTTGTTCGATTTGAGTCTTGTCTGCAGTAAAAAAATGAGGCTTTTGAGACTGATCGATGGACAAATAATACTCAATGTTGACAGTAATTTTAGCCATTTTATCGATTTAAATGTTTTACTAAGTTCCGTTAATGCTGAATTCCTCGTACATGCATTAATAATGTATCTCCTTATGTGCTTCCACTACATAAGGCCACTGCCTCTGTCAACAGCTTTGGCACAGTTCCTAGATCCCATAAACCACAGCTTTGCTACAGTTCGTAGGTCCAAGGAACTCGTCTCAAAGGGCAAGGTAATTCTATTTTTCACTAGTGGCAGCAGCATTCGCAAAATCACTAATTACTCAAAGAAGTATAAACGCGGGCTGTCGTCAACAAGTTAAAGATACAACCTAGGCAGAAGTTGTATGAACCATTTCTTTTGATCGGTAGGATAGATCCCTTGGAAAGAATCATGGATGTGGCACTTGCGTGCATGGAAAGGCGCTAGGGTTTGCAAGGGTAGCTGCGGCAGCCGCAAGGTGAACAAGCCCTTGCCTCAAACATTTATGATGTTTCCTTTTCTTCATTAGTACAGGCCCATTTTTCACCAACACTTTCACACTGTGTGCAACAGGCACACTACTTTGATCCTGGGGCATGCCTTAAAGACAGTTTACTATTAGGCGACAGACCCTCAGAATTAAGGTAGAGGTTGTCAGTGGTGCCGGGATGAAGAAAGCCATAGGGGAAATTGATACGACTCTTATCAGTGCTGTCCTCTTAAACGCTAACGTTCCCTCTGCTACACGGCTAAGGACCTGCGACTAGTAGCGAGCCAGTCAATGGGCGTGCCGCGCCGACAACGCCGCGCGGAGGACCATGCTAGGGCCCGGGCACATCCTTCCCAGAAAACTGCGTGCAGGTCCACGCCAGAATACACTCCTCTTCCGGTGGTAATTTTACAATAAATGTTATCTCCACATTTTGAAGAGGATAAGGTCGATGGTCGAAGAAGGGGAACCTTACTTGATGGAAACCTAGCCGGACTTACTAAGTATCCATCGACCTTATCCTCTTCAAAATGTGGAGATACCATTTATTGTAAAATCACCAACGGAAGAAGAGTGTATTCTGGCCCCATCAGGGGCATTAAGGGGAAGATCATCGCAGCAAAAATTTATATCAAAGATGTGTGTCAATGAGGTAGCTTTGTAAAGGCAAAGATCATGTACGTTCTATCAGGAAATGGTCTGGGTGGCAACAAGATGTATTTGTTGATGGCCCTTACACAGCCCTTTAGTGAAACATCTTTGCATGCACTGAGACGATGTCTCTCGTTTTAAGATGTGGACTCATTACACGTACAATATTCATGCGATCCACAAGTAAGTCAACAGTTAACAACATAACACTCCTTCCAATTACGATATCTGCTTTGGGGCAAAAGTGATATCTCGAAAGCTTCCATTCTCGTAGTGATTTGCAGGATACCAAGACTGCTCCAATGGCTTTGGTTCCCTATGTTTCTGATATACTAACAGCCGCCTGCAAATTATGAGCTATTTGGACCAATCACATAAATACAAATAGTAGACCAAGTACAAAAAATATGTGTAGAACAGTGTACCTGCTGGTTTTCAGAGAGAGTCGTTGCTCACAATTCGCGACAAGACGCAGAGCCGGATGTACGGGAAGACACTCTTCAGAGTAACTTAAATATTTCACAATTATACCTTTTATAGTTATCAGTTGGTCTCGGCGAGCATCCAAAAAAGCGAAGCTTGCATATAAGATGCCTCTAACGGCTACCGTCGAAAAGATCATTCCCTTTTCTATGCTATGCACAGGTGCAACCCAATTACATGATTAGGGTGATACCTCTGCCAGACCTCAAGCAGAAGTGGTTACAACCACTGGGACAATCATTCTTGCGTTACCCTGCTCGCCCCCCCCAGTTCACGAAAACGTTACCCTGTCTATGGATAAGATATTGTACAACGTCAGTTATGACCATGTGATCTCACTTGTGCTATGCGGGCATGAATGTATCGGAGAGACTAGACGGTTCCTGTACACAAAATTTAGTGAACACCGTAAAGATTGGAATAAAGACCGCTCAGCACACTCTCCCCTACCCCAAGAGTCCACTGCGTGCAATCCTATGGAGATGCGCAGATTGATATTACATATACACTCTGTTTCGGAAGACGAGAAGAAAATCGAGTGCGAGATCAATGAAAAACACAAAAACAAAAACAGTCATTGAGACGACGGCCAAGAGAAAACGGTTTTGTCCTTGACCGTCGCTCTCTTATGGTGTGTGGTCTGCACTGGATTTTCTTCTCGTCTTCAACGAGGGTAGTTTAGATTTTGTTGCGAAAACCACGTAATGAACGTCAGATCCTCGAACAGGAAAGACGAGCGCTTGACCATAAGTGACGACTCGCGCCATTCTCTGATTTCTAAGAGATTCGTTCACCGTCAAGTTCATGCCAAAAAGCTAGCTTGATAAAAACCGCATAATAGTTTTCGTCAGATCAGCGGTATCTATACCACGTGGTGTTGCTTTGTTAATGTGACTCTCAGAATACTGTGGTTTAGTGCCATAAGTGCATGATACTTTTTTGAAGATTAAATGATATTAGAGGACAAAGGAGAGTGAATGCACTTTTTTGGCTTTCCAGGCCCTGTTGCTCGGGAGTCGAAAAGACAAAAATTCAAGCTAAATAAAGCTTATTGACATGGTTTTGGCTTTACAAGCCTAGCTGAGAAAACGTGATTAAGATCACCAAAAAAAGAAACAAGAGTTAACAAAAATACCTCTCAAGGATGACTGGAAACCAGAACGAGATCTTTCCTCCAACACGAAGAACTTTAGCAGCAAGATCACATAGATCAGTGAAGGTCTTCTCCAAGGAGTACGGCTGTTTCTCAGGAAAGTGACACTCACTGAAGGCGACGACTGAGCCAAACGTCCTTACTACTTACGAAGACGAAGAAATAGCTCACTGTTCACTGCCATCTAAGGTCCAATGTTCTTTCCTTGGCTTTTTTCCAATTTTACGTCCTTTTTCTCGTATACCATATGGCGCTGTAAACAATCCGAATCAAAACTTGAGGACATAACAACCTCTAACCAAGGTGTGCAACATAAAAAAATCTGCTGCTTTTCGCGGATGACCTTCTTTCAAACCTACGATCTGCAACAATGGCGTCGAAAATTGGTCTTGCCCATAAGTCGTGCCAGCAAGCATCAGCAAGAATACCACTTAGGTAATACCGATCCGTGCCATATTGTTCGAAGTTAGCTTGTACACTCTCCTCGTTTGACCGCATCAACATATCGTGTCGCGAGGATTTCCCTGAACCAGACTAATAATCAACAGTTACGTTTGAAACGAAGCCAGTTTTGTTCTCACAAAATGAAAAACGAAATTTATGTGTTTTACAGTACATAATGTGGGATGGGGCGGAAGTGGTGTAGTGACAAGTGGCGCGCTCACCACGCGAGCGGTCCGGGGATCAAATCCTGGGTCGTGAGTCGCCCGGGCCAACCAAGCCTTCCATCCCTCCGGGGTCGGTTAATTGGTACCAGACTTGTCTGGGAGGATAAAAACACTGACTTGTACATCGGCTGGCCCCGCAAGTCATTGTATAGGCCACATCGCATTCAAACGCCACTACGAATGTACAAATGGAAGTAGAATGCGTGCCGCATCCCAAAAAGGGATCAACGGCAAATGCTTTATCCTTTATCCTTTTTTAAATGTGTGTGTACATAAATAACAATCTATGCCTGCGTTCATGTCCAAATGTTCGAAACGGAATCCACAGAACGGGTTAGAAAAAACACCCCTTTGTTACTACGAGAAGTGCCCTAGAGAGACTGAAGATGAGTGACAGAGCATCATACAGGGGTGGCCAAAAAAAAGACACTTTACTCTACATTTCAGACAACATTAATCATACTTTGATATATTCAAGCCGACTGCTCCCAACTTGATATTAAGAGCACATCCCATTCTATCAAAAAACATTATAATAGCCTCCTGCACCGAGAACATCATAAGAATTTGTTATGGGAACCTTCATGCACGGTTCCAGCTCAACGGTCCTCGACGGATCATGGACGTTATCTGGGAAGCTGGTCAAGGTCCTGCATATTCGGAGATCATGTCCTTGGGAAGCAATATGTTAGTGAACCGATGAAAGAAATCTCATAGCAGCTTCAGAGTGGAACGATTACCGTGATTCTTCTCAAGTTCAATGGTGATGGAAGATGACGTCATATTTTGAGGACGGTGGGGCAGTGGAGGAGGGCCTGCTTAACTTATGGGAGGACATCTAAGGAATATTTTGCCGTAAAACTTTCATAACAGCGGCACCCTGTGCGACGAAAAGTTTGATGATGTGCGCCATGGGCAAAGTGTCTTTTTTGGCCACCCCTGTATATTGTTAAAGGCTGATGGAGGCGCTAGAAAAGATATCACTAAACTCTTTACTGGATGGAACAATGTCGCACAAATGCAAAATCGACGCACCGCACGGATGCCGGCGCGATTCTCTCAAAAAGGGATCAACTGAGAATATCAGACAGCCTAAAGGCTCAAGTCAGGATTGGTGAGCGAAACGGAGCAAGGGAGTATGGCCATGGGCGATGCGATGCGAGGCGCCTTCGTGGCAGAAGGGGCTCTACAACGACAGTTAGAAAGCGCCAAACGCTGGTCGATCCACCCTGCAGCTGATGAATCCACCCACGTGGTAGCATGTCATCCACGTCGTCTCGCTGATCAGTGTGCTCTCTCGTTTCGCACAATTTCTTCCTCTCTTTGGGGCCCATTATCGCTGCTATCGCAAAGCAAACAGCATTGTTTAGAGCATACTCAGTAGATTCCTTTCCTTTTTTTCTCCATCGATAGATCACCTAATAC